CTTCATGGCCTTTCTTAATTAAAACATGATTCTAAATAATTACAAAAACGAGTATTTTTGTTCTCAGAGTTTGATTTTGCAGTAACTACTTTAGAATCTCCTTTTTTTCCCCCAATATTTGGTACTAATTTCAGTTTTTAAAAGGGTGATTGGTTTGGTTTTGGAGGTTTTGTTTGATTGGTAATTTTATCTTCCTGAATGCACATGGCTTGTGTTTTTATCAGCATTTGTTCTGTGTTTAAACTGGTTGTATTTTCAGGTTATGTTTTGACCCCGGTATTTTTGAAGGACATTGGGTGTTGCTTTATTCAAATTTTTGTGTGGGGCCACCTTTGTAGAATTCTCAGCAGTCCATGAATTCTTGTACAAAATACTGACTTTGTTTCACATTGCTGCTCTGCTTGTACAGGTTTTTTTGTAGCTAAGGACAATTATAAAATGAGCAAATCCCTTTTTTTCCTATCACTACTTTCATTATCAGCAAGATTTGTGGTGAGAGTTGCCACACTTAGGTGGTTATTTAATTTCTGTGAACACCCTGCTACTGGATAAAATTGGATATTTAGTGTGGAGTATATTTATATTAAAGACCTGGGAAGGAAAAACTTTTGTCTTGGTAAATTGTTGGATATTGTAAGGTTTAATCTCATATTGCTCCTTTCAGTGCTCATTTTGTTCTGTCCTAATGGCTTTGTTTCCTCTTGGCAGATACTAATTTATTTTTAATGAGGGTTTTTTGCATCTAAATTTTTGTTGATGGATGGGTGTAACCAGAGCATAAAATGCAGGAATGAGATGTTTTGTCCATGATTTGGCCAGTCTGATAATCTTATAAAAACCAAACGAATCCCACATATATTTCCCTGGATTTTTTTTTTGTCAGTAATGAGTATTTAGCATGCAGCTGGAAATTCTTCACAATACTCAGAAAGATTCTTCCAGAAATAATTAAATGGATATAATATTTAATCTCTCATCCTCTCATGATTGGATTTTGATGCACCAAGACAATGAGAGAACACTCATTAAGGTCAGAGAGGGATTTGATAGATTTTTGGGTGCATTCTGATGCTATTCCCCTTCAGAATCAAGAAGGGGAGTAGAACTCTTCTAAATAGGAGCAGAGGGAAGTGGCTGCTGTGCTTTGTGGTATCTCACAGTTTGTTATGTCCAAAGCACTAATTAGCAGCACATTCTGCATTTCTGCACCAGTGGGACATACAGGAAAATGAGTGAAGAAAAAGAAAACAATGAAGTATTGTGCATTGCCTATGCTCAGGTTGGAATCTTTTATTAATGAATAGAATCCTCTTGTTTTGATAATGCAAAAAATGTCAAAGTACAGAACATTTGAATGTTGTGGGCTGTCTCAAACGTGTTTCTGCTGGTGCTAAAGTATTTTAGGAATTACAATAATTTTGAAGCAAAATCCACTCTGTGAGACCCCCGTGAGCCACAGCATTTTCCTTTTCCTGACCTTGCTACCTTGTGTGTTTGGCCTGTGCCATCCCAGCTGTGTGTGCTGTGTGACTTTGCAGAGTGACATGAGGAAGGCTCAGAAAGGATGATCCTGTCTTATCTTGGGGCTCTTCAGTTCTCAGCCAGCAGAATCTGTGGTCTCACCTCATCCCAGAACTCTGCAGTGGCTGTAAAAGTGGAGAAACGTCAGTGCTGGAGCTCTGGGCCATTCCCATCCCCACAAACGTGGGATTCAGGAGAGCTCTTTCCTGGGTGTGCCCTTTGCCTGTGAGCCCCCAGAGCACCTTCCCCACTCTGCTCCCTGTACCCAGCAGTGATTTCCCACAGGAATTTGGAAAGAGATAATGAAAATACTCCCCAGGGAATATCCAGACTTCTCACTGCTCAGTTCTGAGCTGTTTTTACTGTGGCAGCTCACAAGAAGCAGAGAAATCCATTTGCCCAGTGGTGTGCAGGTCACCAGAGAAGTGTTTAGGAAAAACCAGGATGCATGTGCAGGTTCTGTCTGATTCAGGGAAGTGGGAAACACCAGGATGATGGAGGATTGAGCATTCCTTGGTTTTTCTTGACAGAACTTGCCATAGGCCTGGGTTTGAAGGGGTCTAGGGAAGAGGAACCAAACTTTCTCTCAGAGTTCTTTCTTTTGCCTCAAAGAAACTTCAGATGAAGAGCTGACAGTATAAAATACATGCACATACCTGCTTTCCTGGAATAGTCAGACTGGATTGGTACCGGGAAAGGCACAGGAATGGGAGAGGCTCTGTCACCGGTGGGGGCACATCAGCAACTGTAATTAGTGTGTGAGGCCGTTCTTTAAGTGCTTTACCTTGAAAATAAGCTGTTCTTTCTTCACATCTTAAGTAGCATTTTGAAGGGTTCACTTTAAAAAATAACGTTCAAATGAATGTTATTTAGAATATGTTATATAGAATTCTATCCAAGGGACCAGTCAGCCACTGGAGCAGCATTGAGAGAGAGAGATTGTCTCACTGCCTGCAGGGTAAATGCTTTCAACTGTCTTGCTAAAATATAAAACTTCTTGACTTTCAAAGATTTGTTGAAAGAGCAGTGAGAATTTTTTAGTGCTGGTTTAAGTTGGAGAGCAGGCTTGGTAGATGAAGTGCTGGGGACAAATTGTGTAGCTTCTACTTAGACTTAAAAGAGTTGGAAAAGAGCTTTTGTCTGAAACAGAGCAACTTAGGAGTGCAGATGCATCTTGTAATACATTCTTCCACAGAAATGGATTTGGCTTGAGCCAAATTTTGATCAGTAAGAAGGGAAAATTTAAACTCTCAACACTGTCACATGCTAAAATGTGACTTAGTCACATTTCAGTCAGCAGGCAGAGAAATAACTTCGCTTCCAGATGAGGAATCTGTAGCAGCAGCTCTTCTGCCTCCTGTTCCTCAGGAGGAATTCCCTGTGATGGAATCTGTCAGTTTAAAACTTGCACTTTGGAGCAAGGTGTTTAATTCTCCAACAGGCTAAAATTAAAAGAACAAGCAAGACTGTCTCTTCTCCCTGTTTGTGTATCCCATGGGATGTTGGAGGTTCCAAGTCTGTGGGGAGCTGTGTAGGTCTGTGGATTTTGGTGTGCCAGAGTATTGTGGAATTTCTGTTCCAACTGGCTTGCAGGTTCTTGCATGGGCAGTTTTTGGTGTCTGCTAATTGAAGTCTGCTATTTGACAGAAATGATGCTTTCATTTGGGAGCTGACTCTCTGAATATGCTAGAAGTGGTGTGGAGATGTTATGGAATTGGTGCTGGAAGTCCTTCTGGGAGTCACTTTGAAAGTTAAGGACAAGATTACATTTAAAATGCACTTTCTTGCATCACTTCAAAGTTTGATTTGGACTTGTTTTCAGAGTCAGCTAAACACAGACTTGAAGCAGTGCCCTAACTATTAAGCTCTGTGCCATATCAAACACAACCCCATGTTTAATTTAGATATGAAGCTTTTTGGAACAGAATTTATGCCTGTGGCAGTCAGATCCAGAGCTGTGTGTGCAGCAGTGGTTCCTGGAACCAGGGTCACTTTGGCCCTTTCTGCTCTTAGGACACCAAAATTAACAAATATTTACTAAGGTCTGAAACTTGTGATTGATCAACTGTTAACATAATAACACAGAATCCATGAAGGATTTTCATGGGTGTTTCAAGGAGATGATGTGGTCATGGTAATCACAATAATGAATTGAATGTCATTTCTTACTACTTCAGAATGGTTTAGTGATGATTTTCCTAAAATTTTCTTTCAAATACAAAATCCTTTAAGCAAAGGATGCAAAGTTGACATGGGTCAAGTCATACCAAAACTGTATTTTCAGAGGCCTTTTTGTGCAGGTTTTTGGCCTGGTTCAATTTCTGAGAAAGGAGTCCATGATGTGTAGTGCCTGGCTATTGAATTTTTCATTTTAATTCAATTTGGAAGTGATTCACAATGGTTCTGTGTGGTGGTGGAAGGGGTGAAGGCTGGAGACCGGATTTGTTGCAATGATGGCAAAAAGGAGCGTTCCATTCCCGTTCTAAAAGACATCATGGAGTGGATAAACACTGGCAGTGCCCAACAGTGGACTGGAGAGAAATTAATTATGAATATTGCTATGATTAATCCATTCCAGAGACCCATTAGCTTCAGTAATGTTTTGGAAAGAGACTCTCAACAAGCTCAGCATGAACATGTGCCTGGCTTTTATTTTCCTTTTCTTTTTTAGCTTTATTTCCCTTCATTAAAAAAAAAAAAAAAGTATCTCCAGCAATATTTAACCACAAGATAAGTCCTGGATTATCCATGAAACTGAGGACATTCATTTGGGTTGAGTTTGTAAATAAATAGTGACCAGATGGCCTTTCTTTAGGTGAAAGTTCATTTGCAAGAAATGATGTTTCCAATAAACTTGTGTGGGAAAATGAGGAGTAAAGTTCCAGCAACCTGGGAATAAGTTAACAAGAAACTTTCGTGTCCTGTTGTTGGTTCGATTTTTTTGGAAATAGGCTCTATCTGTAGCCAGTTTCCTTGAAGAAAATGGGATGTTTTGGGTACATATTGAAGATTACATTGAAATTGCTCCTTTTAATTGATTTTTTTAATTATTTATTTAATTTTTATTTATAATTTGCAGTTTTTAATCAAGTGAATCATCCTGATTCCTGCCAGGCAGCAAGTGCAGGCTCTTTGCTTCTCTCAGTCAGGTACACTGGGATAGAAAAATGTTTGAAAAATGGGTTTTTGTTCAGTTTTCCTGTAATCCCTGCCTTCAAATTTTCCCTGTATCCTTGCCCTAAACTCCTCAGAGCAGAGACTTGGAGGTAAACGTGTTGCAGGATCCTTCTGTTATTAGGAGCAAAGCCTGGGAAGAGCAGCAGTGATGTTGCCATGCTACAAAATGAAATTAGGGATGCAGCTGGCCCTGGGAAATAAAAACAAACCCACATCCCCCAGTGGCATGAACTGTGTCACAAACTGCTTGTCACTTACGTACAAGCTCTGAAATTTTAGCATCAACTTCATTATTCAAAACATTTCCTGAGACATTCAGTGGGTCATGACTTTAATTTGTTATTTCTTCATACTTTATCTTTGTTCAGTCACTGCTTCCATTTTATTATTTTCATGCCAGTTAGTCATGCTTTGGCTGTGAACATGAGGAATATTGACTTTTCCAGCTAAATAAGTCACTTAATGGATTATGAACTTCCCCCCTTGTCTTCAGCAGAGATTCAGACATTCTTTGGGAATTAACCCCTCGCTGCCGGAATAAATAAAACCCGATTATTTAGGGAGTACAGGATTGTGCTTTCCCCTCCATGCACAGAGCGAAGCCCATGGCTGTAAATGTCCTTTTTCTGTGGCAGGATGCTGCAGCTTTGCAGGGAGAGGGCTGAGCTCACACGTCCAGCTGCATGTTGAAGTGGCTGCGCTCCTGCAGGCGCCAGTGCTGCTCGATGGGCACCTGAGCCTGGCGCAGCACCTTGAGCCGCAGCCGCCTCTCCAGGCACTCCAGCGCCAGCGGGTTCCCAGCAGCCTCAAACTTGTTGGCAAACAGATGAGGGGACTCAATAATCCACTGCAGGTCCCCCAGGCCGTAAATGCAGATGTCTCTGACATAATGACCTGCAGGGACAGATTGGAGAGGTGTGGCAGCAGAGGGAACATGAAGGGAAGCTCTTTTAAAAATCGCTTTTCACCTTTTGATTTCTGCATAGAAATGGAGCTGGAGGATAATGCTAGAATATTCTAAAGATGAGGATTTGTGTTTAGATTTTATGGAAATAGATGTTTTTTTACCTCCAGCTGCTTCCCTGCCATGTTACTCTGATTAATAAAACGTTGTGGTTGGGCATCAGATGTTCTGATGTCCTGCTGGGATTCCCTGCTCAATCACACCTGGGCTCAGCTTGCACACTTGGAGATTTTAATTATTTCTGCATCCTTTCCATGTGCTCAGCAATGTTCTTTTGTATTGTTCAAATTGAAGGGGTTGAACCCAATGTTGATGGAAGTACCTGACAAACATCCTTGTAGGGTAAAGCCCCTCCACTGAGAACTGATCAAATTAGTGCATTGCTAATTAGGGGCTGATAGAAGGGTTGTCAGTGCATGGATACTGTGCTCATCTCAAAATTGATAAAATACCTAACTAATATATTAATATAACATATACCTCAAAATCCCTTTAATTGGATATAGTGCAGTAATTTATAGGGTGCCTTGTTTTATTTCATACTTCCAAAATAAATTATATATGACCACTGAGGCACAATAAATAGCTGGTTTAAATAATATATAATCACCAATTAATGCTCCTCAGTGAATCAAATTTAAGCTCATGATCAAAATTCACGTTACCTTTGCAGCCTTTGTGTGAGAGTCCTTCTTGATCTTTCCATTTAATGGCTCTTAGGTCTCCTTGCCAGCCTGCATTGGGTGTAGCCCCTGGAGCATCTTTAAAAACAAAAGGCTCTGATAAAATTATTTTCTACTTAATACAGGGAAAATTTTCACTGCTGGACACTTCTTAACTGCAGTCACAGTAAGTGTTTATTTGTAGATATTTAAGTCATAAGAACAGATATTCTCAGTATTATTGCTTTTTTTAAATTTTATTCCTTGAGAGCAAAAGCTTTCGTGCAGCAAAACACTTTTTTTTAACCAGAATTTTCCTAACTCCTGGTCTGCACTGAAATAGCAATTTCCTACAGGCAAGCATTATTTCTCAGCCACCAGAACTGACTCTACCAAAGAGCAGCACCAAAGCTGAAGAAATGACTTTATTTCTGCAATTCAGAGCTGTTCAGCTCCGAGCTGGAGCTCAAAGCCTCTCCCCACCTGAGCCCTGTCCTGCTGGGGATTTTTTGGGGCAGAAATGTCAAACTCTTACCAGGTAAACGATTGAGGGTGACCCAGTAGTGCTCATCAGGGCTGTAGGTGTCCCTCGACCACTCCAGCAGAGCTTTGGCGCGGGCATCGCTCAGCGTGAACTGCACAAAGTCCTTAGTGAGGATGTAATAGGCACTGCCAAAATAAATGGTGAGGTTATGTGGAGGCTGAGCTTTCCTGATCTTTGCTGGGTACACGTAGGGCACCCCGGAATGGACATACTCCCTGTAGCTGACCTCTGTCCTGTGCTTCACATGAAGGGGTTGCACTATCCCAGGAGTGATGTTTTTCCCATTCCACTTACTTTTTATGTATTGTATGATTTCTTTATTTGTTTTCAGGGGGTAATCTTGACCACACAGGTTAATAACATAATTCCACTGAACTTTGGAGTTAACGAGGTCTCTCATGCAATTAATATCAGCTTGTAATCTTGAAAACCCTGCATAAACAACGTGTTCTCTTTTGGAGGAAATAAAAATATTTTCAAAGCAGTTAACGATGTTCTGTACAGCAGTTTTATAATCTCTGGGTGACTTTTCATCAATGTGGATGCAGTAAATATTCTGAGGCATATAAATAGCTCTTAGCAGCCTCACAAACATTTCCAGCTCCTTGTGAATTGTAATAATGTACGCCAAGGAGAAATTTCCTTCTTCCTCTGACAGCGGTCTGGTGATAAAATGCAGATTCTTCAGGACTGTGGAGCAGCTGCAGGAACTCTGAATGCAGCTGAGGGCTTTGGGCTGGTAGGACTTCTGACAAAAGTTTCCAATTTTAGAGGCTGCAGGTTTCCCCACAAAAAGAGCTGAGCAAATTTCATCCGGGTAATAACCACATTCTGCTCTTCTGACATGGAATTTTTGGTCATTTGACTCGTCATAAAGTGGAACCTTTAGGTAGATGAAGGTGTAGATGAACATACAGACAGCAACACACACTAAAAATTTTGATTTCTTTGCATGAAGTGGGTTCATCTTTTATTTCCAGATCCTGTCTTCTTATCATAGTCCAATTAAACATTCAGATCATCTGAAAGGAAAAGTGAGATAGAGGGAGACAACTTTTCTGTTTCTTTTTTTTTAAATAGATGCCATGTTAGTGCTTCATTTATAAATGTTTGGTTTACTACCAGGAGGAACTGAGTGTGCCCATACTGAGAGCACTCAGTCCCTGGGAATGCAGAGCTGTGAGGCAGGAATTCTGCATTTCCAGGACAAAATGATCTCCAAAAGAACCCAGAATGGCTTTGAATTCATCACTGCTTGACCAAGGGGGGGCTCAGCTCCTCAGGTGGGAGTTTCCTGTGCTCAGAGGTGCTGGGTGAGCCCAGGGCCCCAGGGAAGAAGCCAGTTCTGAGTGCTGAGGAGCAGCTGCTGCTGAGATTTCCTCAAGGCCTGGGAAACTTGAAGTTCTGCCAGAGGATCAGAATTCAGTAAATTAAATCAACAGAAAATTTATTAAATAAACAGAAGGAAGAGACTAAAATGTAATCCACAAAATACTCTGGGTTTTGTCCTTATAAAGTCAGCAAATGTTTCTGACTCTGACATTTTATTTTTTTTTTTCCTCTGACATCTTTGTATTTGTACTTTGGGAAACTGAACAAGGGGACAACACTCATTTCTTATTTTTGGTACTTGTGCATACCCTGAGGTAATAAGGACCCATGTGCCAGTATTGGCATTCTGAGATAACTAATTTACAGCAGTATTAGCACAGGAGTTCTTCCATTTTGGTTTTTCCCTTACCTTGTTGAACACTCAGAGGAATGAGAGTGCAGCCAGTCCTGAATCCCACAGCAATTACATAAAGTCTTTATCCTTGAAGCACTTGGTATCAAAATTCCTAGAGGAAAAATACCAATGTTTAGCTTAACAGTTAAATTTTTTAAGATTTAAATTTTATTTTAAAGGTAATTAATTTTCTCTTCTTTCAGTCAATGATTGTTTTAAACAAAATTTGCATTTCACCTTGAAATATTTTACACTTTGCAGCTGTCAAAATCATTAAGTATTTTAAAAGCTCAAAAATAAAGAGGCCACTGTAGTTAAAGCAGCAATGAGACATAAAATTCAAAAAGCATTAAGAACACAAATTGAACCGAGGGAAGGGATCCTCCATATTCCCACCTTTTGAAGATTTTATTGGGCTGTTGGGAAGGAATGTATTTATCCTTTGGTCCTTACTGGTAAGCACTGGATTTCATGCTGGAATGGTGCCTCTTTTCCACTGAGCATTCCCGAAAGGAGAGCTCTGTGTTAGGTGGAGGGCTCGTCCATTTTCCTGGGATGTTCTTTCAGCAGCTCCAAGAAAAACATGAGGAAATCAGCTCCCAGGAGAGTGTTCTTGCCTTTGAGCTCCTCAGGGATCCATTTACTGGGTAAACAACCTTGATGGGAGCGTTCCATCCATCTGAACAAAAAGCTGCAGCAAATCAAGTCCTTGTCAACCTTTGGATGCTGTGCAGAAAGCAGGAGAGCAGGGATGCCACTGCAAGGTGAAAAGCAGGATTTTTGCATTAAAAATGAAATGCCTCCTGTGCCAGAGCCCAGAGAAGGCTCCTGTGAGGATCATAATGTACGTACCCAGGGGCTGGAATTGGGAAACAGTGATTTCTGTGCAGCTGGACTCGCACAGAATCTCTATTCTGAGGGAATAACTAGCAGGAGGAACACTGAGATTCCTCTGAATTAATGTCACGAGATCTCTGGGATGTCACAGGGAAGGTTCATTCTGAATATAAGAATTACACTAAAACCAGCAGGCAGCTGTAAAAATAATTGTGATTTTATACCTGATTAAATATAAAACACCAAGATTGTGGGTTCAGTCCCTGTACAGATCATTTATTTGGGAATTGAACTCAGTGATCTTTGTGGGTCAGTTCCAACTCTGAGTATTCTCTGAATCCATCCAGAATGAGGATGCTTGGCAGGTTTTTTTTCCTTGAATACATTTAGGGCAGGTTGCAAAGTGTAGTTCAAGCTGTAACCTCCTTGTTTCATACACCTGAATTTTTATGACCCTTCAAGTAATAGCTTTGGGGCTGTTTCAGGCTGTTAAGTGTTTACTATGGATTTTTTCCTACTGGACTGTGTGACATCTAGAAACTGTATTTTTATGGCAGCATTAAAACACACAAACACCCCATAAGAGGCAGCAATTCCTCTCCAGTGTTAACTCGTTTATGGGGGACAGCTGAATGATGGAACCTGGCCTGCAAGAACTGAATTTGACATCTTTCAGCCTCGGGAGGATATTGTGGAATAAAAGCAGCAGCTTTTTGGTAGTGTTTGACCAGATTTCGAGCTGGAATTGCAGCTGGCAGTGCCACTGGATATGGAATTTGTTGGTTTAGCAGGATCCTCTCAGCCCTGTCTGCTGGCAAAGCTTATTCTCCCAAATTTCCTCCCTGAAATTCCCATTGGGAATGTCCATAATAACCCAATCCAACACTGGGAGTATCCTGCCCTTGAGTCTTATTATGCAAGAGTGCCGTGAAAGGTATTTTTTGTTAGCAGAATGTCTCTGGAACCCAGAATTTCCTATGTTATGCACAGGTTTTCTAAATCTGGGAGATGAAGTTGCATGAATTTTTAAAACTCCTGCGAGTAGTGTGTGACATTCTTAGGGAAAAAAAAAAATAAAAAAAAAATAAAAGTAGGGGTTTTCAAGCACTTTTGTGGATGCTTTTAAGGATATTGTATTACTTTTAATAGAAAATTGTTGTAAGTCTAAAATGCTCCATCTGAATTAACGAAGTAAACTCTAGAGGAAAGGGGAATTATGATGATGCCTGGAAAAAGGCTGTGAAATGTCAGCTCAGCTCATTGAGACCCCATTAGCACATACTTGGCTGCGCATTTTGTAGTAACAACACATTTTGCTTTTTGCTGTTTCTCCCTGCCATGAAGGGACTGCATCACTGCACCTCTAAACATTCTGTTTTCTCTGTCATCTTTGCTTTTGCCTAATATTAAAGTTTAGATAAAGTTTGCTTGGTATGACCTCGTAATTTAGTGAGACAAATGACTTGGGAATGCTTCATCTTCTAATAAAATGCTGAAAAAGCATTAAATACTTATTTCAACTTTTTTTCATAGCTATTTTTTTTTTTGTTTGAAAGTTATTTATGCAGGAATTAATGTAGACATTTTATAAACAGGGGAAGACTAATTCGATCCTTAAAAAACGTTAAAATCAATTCTTTTAAGTGCTTTTTTTTTTTGTTTAAATGGGGTCAGAACACGAAGCCTGCTATTGGATTTTGAGTTGCGTTGAGTAAAAGCATTTCTCCATCAAACCCAGTTATTTAAGTCATTCTTAAAAACACTGCGTTCCAATTTACTGATACAGCAAATTTATGAAGTTCTAGTGTTCATCTTTGCTATTTTCCTGTTAACTTTTTTTTATGTGTATTTGACCTCACAGTAATTTCAAACAAATACAATGAAAACTATTTAAACCCTTAAGTTACAAAGCTTAATTATTAATAATAATAATAATAATAATAATAATAATAATAATAATAATAATAATAATAATAATAATAATAATTTAATAATAATAAATAATAATAAATAATAAATAATTTGCATAAATACCGTTATTTTTATAATACGAACAATTAGCAGTAATGACCTCCATCCTTCTGTGTATCCGTCACAAGGTAAAGAGGGGGAAAAAATATTAACCTTGCTATAGATTGGAGTGTTTTCTAAGTAAAATTGTCGCTTTACATAGGGAAAAAGGAATGCTGCGATGCAAGTGATGCAGCCTTACCTCGTCCAGAGTTAGCCAGGAGACGGCAGCATAATAATAGCGATGCAAGTGATGCAGCCTTACCTCGTCCAGAGTTAGCCAGGAGACGGCAGCATAATAATAATAATAATAATGATGAAGAGAAGGGCAGGGTGTCATTGTCCTTCAGCAGAGCCGTGTCCCTCGGCCCGGAGCAGGTTAACCATTAATGGGGAATGTTTGATTCCCCTCCCTGCAGCGCTCAGCATTGGATCCCGCAGCAATCCGCCTGCAGCTCCCGGGAAACTCCTGCAGGCAGCCTGGGAAGGGCTGGGAGCCGGGATCCTGCGGGGAATCCTGCGGGGAATCCTGCGGGGAAGGAGCCGCTGTGCCCCCCCAGCCTTCCCCCGCTGCCCCCCAGCTGCGGCTGCTGAGCCCGGCACAACTGGGAGAACTGGGAGCCTGCCTCCTCCTCCTCTTCCTCCTCCTCCTCCTCCTCCTTCTCCTCCTCCCCTTAACTATTCGCCTGCCGAAACTTTCCAGTTCCGAGGCGACAATTCCAGCAGGGAATTGCTGCTGCCGGGCATTTCCAGTGGCTGGAAGCTGGAAAGAGAATAAGCAAAAGACCTTGAAGCACAGACCTCGCTTGGGAAAAGCACTTTAGCATAAATTAGGAAGAATTAAGCTATGAGTTAGCGGCAGAATTAAACGTGAGAGCCTCTTAGCAGTGTAACCACTTCTGCAAAGCAGGGATCAAGCCAAGGAAATAAAAAAGGAAGGATTTGGATGTAAGTGCTGCCACTTCTGCAAAACAGAGTCCAGCCCTGGTGGGGTGAGGAGATAAGGAGGAGGCTTAATGGCACTTCTGTGTCTGAACATTTCTGTAAGCAAAGGTCCAGCAGCCCTGCTGGGCCAGGAAAATAAGAGGAACTGATACAAAAAACTAGAAAGACAGATTGTGTGGTAATGGATAGGAAACAGAAGGACATAATGATAAAGCACAGCTATAAATACAAGAACATTGTGAGTGAGGTGTGTGTGATGAATACGTTTGGTAGAACCGTGTGCCGTGTTTGTAACCATGAGATAAAGGAACCACAAGTTGGGTAAGGCCCCAGCCCTTAAAACTGTAACTTCTACATAAGCAAATAAACAAGGGCAGAAAGCAACACTGCAAAATTACAAAAGTCAGTATAAAATGAAGCAGGAGGTGTTAACCCCTGCATGTTCTCTGCTGCCATAATTTGCTTTACAGGACCTGCTGTGGAGCAGATGGATTTGAATCATCCTTCACACACACAGAGTTTGCTGTCACAGCCTTTTAAAGGTTCTTAGGGGGTTTAATAAGTGGAAAGTTGAGCCTAAATGTGCTGGGATTGGGAGGACACATTCTGATAAAAATACCGTGTTGGTCAGAAAACCTCGAAGTTAAGGCACAGCTGCAGAGGGTACGGCAGGTACAAAATTATCACTGATTTTAAGAGAAACTCTGTAAATTGAGGCTTTTTTCTTGAACTGGTTTGGAAGTAGATGCTGCAGCTCCTGAGTGAAAGTTCATGTTCTGTGAATCACTGGCTGGGAAATTTCCACTGCTCCCAAGTTGTCCTTTACTCTCTGACCCATTGCATGTCTGGCTTGGGTGACAATGTGAAAAAACATGTTCAGCAGTTCAATCCTCTCCCTAAATGTCCCTGTTTAAAGAAGGACACTCAGGTTGTGGCCATCCATGTCCCACATCCTGGTGGGAATTGTGCATTTCCTAGTAATGATCATGTTCAGGAGAACTGCAGGAATTCACTGGTCAAATTTGGGAAAGAGCCTTTAGGTTGCTCTGAAAGCATTAAACTGTAACACTGGTGTAAACATTTAGATATGAAAATATATTTGCCTGTTGTTCATTTGTATTACATTAAGACTGGAGTATTCATGCACAGAATTACATTTTAGATGCTATTAAAAAAAAAATAATGTGTCAATGTATTTTACAGCAATAAATAATGTACAACTCTTGTCTTAGGCAGCTGAAACTGTGAACTCTAGAACTCAGGAAGTCAAATTAAGGGTTCATTACTACTTTAAAAATCCTGTATTTTATACTTTAAGAAAGATAAGAGCTACATCATTTAGGAATGTCCTCTATTCAAGGTACTAAGAACTACAGGAAGTACCTTCATCTGTATTTAAAGGCCCAAGATAAACAAGGTACAGCAGAGGAGACCCCGTGATACCATAAAACAAACATCTGCCCCAAGACCTTAATTAATCTGAAGGACAGAACATCTGTCCTTCATCTGAATTTGCAAAACTGAAACTTCTTCCTGCTTTTTATCTCATTAAGATGTTTGGAAGGGTATGGTCTCTGAGATAATCCAATGTTGTCATAGCAAAAAATTTTCTGTTTCAGGGAATGGAAAGAACACTGTCTTCATTTCCTTGTTTCTTGTAAATACTTTTCAATTTTGAACAATTCCACTTGTATTTTCCAGATGGGAACCTGGATTTGCTTGCTCTTTTAAAATACAACATTTAATGAAATTATATAGTCTACTGTCAAAATATGTTTGAAACATGTTGTATTAGGAAACACCCTAGAGAAGAAATTGTGGGGCTTCTAGAAATGGATCTGTGGGGCTTCTTTAGAATCAAGGCAGCTGCCAGCTCCTGCCTCAGAATGAAGACTGAAATTCTTGATTTTGGAGCTTTCTCACTCCCAAGTGTGAGATCACACCAGGCTGGGATTTCTCATTGAGTAGAAATGGAAAATCTGGGCTACTCTCCCTTTTCTTGTGTGTGCCTTTCCTCTTCCTGCCCGCTGTCCTGTGCCTCCCCCTGACCCCTGTCTCCTCTCAATCTCCCACCACTTGGCTTCAGGTTCAGTTTTAGTTTCAGAGCTGTGCTCAGCACTGGAGCAAAGTCCTGCCCATATGTCCTTTCATTTGTTTAATTCCTACTGCAAATACAGGAGTAACCTTTCTAAACCTTTGTTTAGAAAAAAGAAGAGTAATGGCAGGGGCAGGATTATAAATTAATCTTGCAGATTAATAGAAAGCTTCTGCATTTAACAAAACAACCAAAAACACCCATCCCAAAACCAACCAAAGAAAAAAAGATAAAAAAGAAAAACACCAACCAAAAAAAAAAAGCAAATTGAGACCTTAGACAAGAAAACATCATGGTAAGTGTGCTGCTGCATCAAATGATTGCAAATGTGCACAGGGAAACATCTGTGCCTTCAAGTATGAAACAAATGTGGAAGTACACAGAGGACGTTACAGCCATTATCCAGATTAATTTATGAAAGTAGTTGGAAACTTGGGAGTGTTTGATAAATCAGATGAGGGCACAGTCTCTGTGATACAATCCAGTGAGGCAGCAAGGCAGGGGTAAGGAATTATTCTGCTTTTATGACCCCTTTTTATCCCCACAGTAAAATTAAAAAATAATAATAATAAATAAAAAAAACACCTTCATGTTTTCCTGTCTCCCAGCTGAAGAGAAAAACGTGCTGTTTGTTCCAGATGTAGAGGAATAACACCTTTGGTGTTGTCCCTGCTCAGTGCAAAGGAGCTGCTCCCATCAGTTGTTGTTTCTTATCTCATTAAGCTGAAAGACAAATTCTAGAGCTGAATGACATAAGGATCTTAATCAAATGCATTCATAATTAAAAATCAGAAAATACTTTTGAGTTTTAGGTGTGGGGTTCAGAAAATTGAGTAGGTTCTAAGTAAGAATACTTTTAAGTACATTTGTGCCAGTAAAACAAGGGACCTGTGAACAGAAAGTACATAAATGAATAAAAGAATGTTCAGAGTGTTTTTTTATAGGAGACAGAAAAATAGAAATGCAATTTAGTCCTTTCTTTTCTTTCATAAGTGTGGCACTCCCTTTCAAGAGGAAGATGTGATTGTCCTTAATGGTAATAAAGAAGATGTGGAAATTCTGAAGAAAAGGATGGAGGAAAGAAGACTTAAAAGTAAATTAGAAAAGGTAAGATTTTTATACAATATTTGTTATCAAATTTGAAGAATTCTTTTCTGCAACGAATCTGCTCTTAGATTTGCTGATCTCTGTAAAGATGGAGGAATTTCCTCCGTGAGCTGTGTTGTATTTAAACACTATTTTGAAAAGCAGTGGGGTTTTTTTGTGTGTATTTGGCCAATAACATCTTGAAGCTGTACATCCTAAACTTTCTCCTGACCAGCAGGAAGTGCCTTGTGCACTCAAAATGGGTAAAATGAACTCTTGCAGCAATATTTCAGGGTTTTCTTGAAATTAATTCATTCTAGTAATGAGCTACAATATCCCTGTATTTCTTGTGGCAGTTCCTGATGATGGCATCAGTTTTTTGACCTTATAAAATGAGATGTCTTTTATTGGCCTCAGTCAGAAACAGGATGTTGGGATCTGTGCATTCCTGGGCTAGTGCTGTAAGACTGTGGATATTTATCATGTTTTGTGGTTCTCACAGTCCTCAGCAATTACTGCACCCCTAATTCCCACCGTGCTGTCGAGGCCTTTGCATTTTTCCATCTGCCCAGGTGAAATGCAGTGGAAATCAAATCCTTGCAGCTCTGCTGCACTGCCCTGTGAGCTGGGGGTTGTTCTGTGCTGCTGAGCTGTCAAATGACACTTGTGCATATGGGAATTTTGTCAGCACTGCTGTTTTTCCCTGAGCTCCCTGGAGGATGCCAAAGCAAGCAAACCTTTAGTGCTGACTCAGGCCAGGATGCTCAGACTTAGCTGGGTCTCAGGAACATAAATCACTGTCTGATCCTTTCAGCATCTGAGACTTGAGATGGAGGTTTCATCCCTTGATTTTGCCATGCAAATATTTCCCCGGTTTGTTTTAAAACAAACGCTTGTTTACTTGTCAGGGAACATATGATTCCTTCTCATCACAGGGGCTTTATTCATCTGCACTGGGCCAGTGCAGCATCACTGGGCCTGGGCAATACATCAAAAGGATGGTTTTCCATAAAAATCCTGCTGTTCTGTTTCCTGTTTCTCATAGTCTCTGCATCTCATGTCTGGTATAAGAATGATACTCATCTCTTCTGGCATAAGAATGATAATCTCATGGTGTCTATTCAGAGAGTTTTTTCTTTTTTTCCCCTCAGTATTTGGCAGTTAAAAGTTTGGGAAAAAAACCAGATTTATAATTTGTTTCTAGGCTGTTGCAGATCTCAGCAGATGAGTGAGTGGCTGGTTGCTCTTGGTTTGCTTTAGAAACAGGGTCTGTAGCTTTGGGTCAGATGGTTTTGAATCATCTGGAAGGTGATGCTGCCCCCAGTTTGTGCACAGCAAAGTACCCGGGTGTGCAGGGCTGTTGTGGCTTTTAGGGTGACAGCACAAAAGGACACCGTGCCCTGGTCCTGGGGCTCTGTGTGCCCTGGGGGAACATGCAAATGGGATTTGTTTGGTTAGTGGAGGATTACAGGACAGGATTTGC